GGCAAAACCTGTGGACTATAGTCAGTTCAGTAATGGTGGCATAGCATCACAAAGCAATAAGTTTTCCTCTTTTGCTGATGTGGATGAGCCTTGACTGCATGGGAATTAAAGGAACACTGAGTGCTTTATTAGTCACTGTTGTAAAATGGCCATATAAGGATCCTTGGCTCCAGGAAACTTCCGCATTTGCGTCCAAGCTCGTTCAACATGGTCAGCTTGTTGTTGTGAGGGCTTACAGTGAATGGAGGAAAAGCAAGATAACAGAAATCATATTTAAGAATATTGTGATCTGGGAGAAAATCTTTTGGACTCTGAAATCCAAGAAAACTAGACTTGTATCTACTCGCATCACATTATCAGACTAGTTATTGGTTCTGTGTGCGTAATGGGGAGAAAGGCAGGAAATATTATAATTTAAAATGTTAAAAAATGCAAATTGCAGAAAAAAGAAATCATGCTAATTTTAAAAAAATGTTTGATGATGTTCTAGTACACTTTCTATGTCTTCTTCAGTGGCATCTCTTCCGGAAATATTCAAGTGTCTTTGGCTTCTGTGTTTCTTTCTGCACTCCCACAGGTGTAAATGTGTTTGAGATTGTGTTGATGTGCGTTGTTTCACCCAGTAGAAATCACACTAATAACGTATGCTTTTACTGAGTAATGACTGTAATAAAAATCATTAGCATGAAGTGCTTTCTGAAGCATCCCAAAGCAGTTAGTGATCAAGTTTTGCTTTTATTCTCCTGCGGATGTGATTGGGATTCACGGGCTTTAACCACTGTGGGTCTGAGAGAGCTCTGCTAATTGAGGGGTGGGCACAGGATATATAGGAGCCCTGCGTTTGGGCCTGCGCTTTGCTGAGGTTGAGCATGCGGACTGGGAATGTCCTATGCTAACTGTCTTCAGCAGGATTTGCCAAGACCTTTAAACTGGGAGCCTATTGAGAAAGAGCGCCTTGAAGCATATGACGTGATGGCAGCTGGCCAGCGTAAGAGTCCAGTTTTCTGAGCCCAAAGTACATGGATTCAGTATCAGGCATATATACCATGCACAACTGATACAATATCTTTTTTTAATGATTGTTCAAGAGGATGGTGTGTTCTGACTCTTATGTGCAATGTAAAAGCCTTAAAAGCCAAGCATTTACCTGCTACTGGGCCACGCAGCGCCCTGTGTGGCTGCACTAGGGGGAGACATGTCGTGTGTGAGCACTCAGTCCTCATGACTGCGAACCAGCAGGTCTGCAATGATGTTGGTACCAACTTATAAAGCTGTGCACCAAATACCCTCAAAAATTTCAACTTGCATTGCGTCTCCACTTATAGTTCCAGACAAAACAGCCATTGACTTCAGTTATAATGTCCCTTTTCTCATAAATTCACTGAACTCAGTTTTTCTCATTTCTTAGAATTGACATAACGCTGATGGCAAAGCATTTATGTGGATTTTCTAGCAAATATTTCATATGGGATGGCTAGACATGAAGTCAGAGACAAATTCTTTACTCATATTCAAATCAATTATTGAGGCATGTGGAAATGTGAACGTCATTTTTACTATTTGAAATGTTTGTAAAATGCATATATGGACTTCCCCATGTGCTGGAGAGACAGAGCTGTCCATTTGCACCCACATCCTTGTATTTGGTGGCTTTAAACCTCCAGAAACATCCTGTTCTCCCAATCATCACTGTAGAAAAAAGGGCTGTCATTATAGATAAAAGCTGCATCGTCATATCCTGTGATCCCCAAGGCACCTAAGTATAAAGTGTTGTTTTGATTGTGCCACAGTAGCTGTGCTATTCAGGAAACTGTTATTTTAGATAACTTTACCATCCTGAATGACCCAAGGAAGCCATTACCTATAAGCACACAGGTGCCTCTAACTGTATTCCTCAGAGAAGTAAAACAAATGGCAAGTTGTTTTGTGAGGATGGCTTTTCCCAGTGGCAATATGTCCAGGGTTCAGAAGTTCTCACGTGCGTTTCTCAGCCTGCTGATTTCATGAGTCAGTGCCATCTCCTGGCTGAAGAATTGTAATTAGCCAATCAAATCATTGGATCAAAATACTGGAGATAGTTCTTACTCACTGACCCTGGATATTCCACTATACACTGTTCCATATTTGTCTCTCTGTAACCCTTCCCTGCTCTCCTTTTGCAGTAGTCTCATCGTGTCAACAAAAAAAGGCCTTTTCACACCACAAATGAGATGAATGAACGAAACAGAAATGCTTATTTAAAAAAACAAAAACAAATCGAACATATTAATCTCAATGAGCCCATCCACTCCGAATCCAAAACTTTTGCATTTTGTCATTAACGAGTATTGTGCATTTCCTACTGTTTTTTTTTTTCCTGTTTTTTCATCTTCAATGTGAAAAGGCCCTGATAGAGACATTTTCTGACTGAGCAGAGGGACAGGAAAGGCCTGCAGGGACGGCAGTATGACTGTCAGAATGGGATTTGTTACTTGGACAATTTTTATCATCATATGTGTATTCAAATATGTGTTTTCCTACCTTTTCATGAGGCTTGTGCAAGGCCATAAATCACCACTGTATAACACTATGCTGGCCGACTTCGGCCAGAAATGATACTATGCGCACAGTGGGCTCAGGCTCAGGTATGCATCTGATTGGTCAGAGAAGCAGCAAGTGTACCGATAGCTCCACCTGTATGGCTTGACTTCAGCAATGCAAATCAGGCAGAGGGATCATTTCAAATGCAAATTTTTCACCTCTAGACTTTCATTGACTCTTTTCTTGACCCTAATTTCACCCATAAGGGGAAACAAGGAAATTAAAAAAGAAAAGGACATGGTCATGGGGAAATTAAGAAAATGTGGATCAGGCAAATGGGATGCTCTTGCTCTAACACTGGTTCAAAACTATGTCAGACAAAGGTGTAACATGAATTGGCTAAGGCAGTGGTTCCCAAACTAAGGCCGGGAGGCCTCCTGTGTATGCTGGTTTTTGTTCCAACCTCAATAGAAATTAAATTATTTTAACAAGCTATTAATTTTTCAAACCGGGTGCTTTTCATGTAAGATAACTAAAAAAATAATGTATCATGTTACACCAGAAATAGCGCCGTATCATATGTTCAATTACATTTCTGTAGACTATATTGCTATATTGCAAACATGTACTTACATAGAAGGAGGCAAATAATCTCTGATCAAATTGAGACTGATCTGAATCAATGGGTTGGTAATTAGCGGAAGTCCAGACGCCTGGCCACCAATCACAGCCATTGGATTGGTAATGAAAAATTAAAAAATAATCGCCACATTCGACTGGTGTTTTCACGAAGTAATTATTCTCTGTAAATGTTTCGGAATGATTCCACTCGTACCGGAAGCGCAGAAACGTGATTACTTAACTTACCAGGGAGAAACCTGCGTGAAGTTTGTGAAGTAGCGGAGAATATGACGGAAGCACGTGAATGGCAAATTGCTACCCAAGTTGTTAGGTAATTTGAGTGTTATATATTAAATTTTTGGATGATATCTTGAGTAGTAGGGGGAAGCAAATATACTCGAGTACCTGTATCCTGGTTAGGTGATTGTGCTGCTTTAACTCTTTACTCCCTAGTAGCTATCTTAGACTGCTGCCCTAGCAGCCACTGACCCCTGGTGCCCTAAGACAATATGGCTACTAAAATACCACGACTGTAGTCGGGATTCGCCGGCAGAAGCGATGTGTTTATCACGCCTGTAGTCGGGACTCGCCTGCACAGCGACCTAAATTATCATGACTGTAGGCGGTATCAGGGAGTAAAGGGTTAAAAGATCTTCCAAATTGATTGAAATTTTATGATGGGCAATATGTGTGTGATTTGCATTAGGAATTACTGCAAACTGCACAGATCAGAAAAAAAGACTCAAACCATCCCTTTTACTTTGCTTCTTGATCTTTCAATTCAGCACAGCACCATGTTTTAGTTTAATTCCTCTTTCTCGGGATATTCCTCCGTTGCTGGAGCACCACTGTCTAGGGCTGCGTCCAAATAGTCTTTTTTTGCCTAGGAAAATTCCTAACTCCTAAAAAATGATCCAGAAATATTTTCGTGGCAGCCATGATAAGTGCATTCGAATTCTTTAAATTTTAAGGAAAGATGTCTCAGTGCTTCCTAATTTACCTCCTTTAGCACAGGGCACACAGAACCATCCTTTTCAAAAAGAAAGGAGATAATTCTATCCCACAATTCTGTGCAGCAGCAATATTTAAAGCAGCAACCATTCATCTGGCCAATAATGTAAAGAAATGTATATGATGGGCAGGGGACTTATGATCACGTTGCCAAGTGTAAGTGCATTCGGATTCTCTAATTTGCGCTGTTGTCGTCCTAAGCCGTTAGGAATTCCCTTTTATTCCTTTCTTTTACCTTATGATGTTTTCCACACAGGTTAAAGAAAAGTGGTTTGGAATTTGTGGATAGGACGTAATTTTTGATTATTCGGACGCAGCCTTTATCTCAAAAATCCATTTAACTGGCAGACTTGCTAACATTAGCAATCTGTCACTGTGGGCGGAGAACAGTTTTTATTTCTCGGCAACTACCAGTCAAATACGGCCAAAGTAAATGATCATGAGACAAACCTGCATTGTATTGATATTTTTTTTTTTTTATTTGGCATCTCCAATCCCACCCGAATCTGGAATGCTGAATTGGTGAACTATGTACAAGGCTTGCTCATATGCGACCCCTTGCTGCCAACTCAGGAGAGCGAAGACAGTTCGCGGCTCTCCTCCGAAGCAAGCGCCTGTCAGCCTACTGCTTCTTATACACTCATTGGTTGAATCTGCGCAAGTACAGAACGAGGGCAGAGGATACCCGAACATGAACAGGCTTAGAATCTTCCTGACGAGGCGCTTGAGCAACGAACAAGGCAACCACTACTTTTCCCCTACCCGGCAGTCCCTTCCCAATTTGCAACCGTGTAGCGCAATAGCCAATTGTGCGGTACTCTGAAAAAGCTGCCGACCAATGCCGGCTGTTACGAGGCGGGGATCGAACCCGCGACATGATAGTTACTTCTGCTTCGCAGCACGAAGCTTTACCGAGTGAGCTATCCAGCAGCTCGTATTGATGTTTAAGAAAGAAAAATAATTAATGCTAACCAAGTTGGAAGCCTATTACACTCAGTGGTTAATGTTACCTCTATTTTATGTAATTGTTTGGCATTTTTCAAGAAGCGCAATATGAACTTGGGGATTATATTTCTTGAGGCATTGCATTTTTCTGGGATAATGTTGATCAATAAGAGAAGTAATCCGTATAAAAATAGAAAAAAAAAAAAACGTGGTCAAGAAATATTAGCAACTTTTTGGAATTCTTTGATAGCAACTGTGGTTGGAACAAAAGCCAGCATACACAGGGGGCCTCCAGGACCAAGTTTAGGAACCACTGGGCTAAGGTTAATCGAAATGTCAACAGGTCACTCATTCCTAAGAATTTCCACAATGGATGCGCTTGGGTTTTCTTGCTCAAGTTTACTTTGAGAAACTCCTAAGTCTTTGAAAGAAAATTTGTTGGAGGGAAATGTCCCTAATGAACCAAAAATCTAGGACATGAAGGAGGATAAAATTTGCAATTTGAATGAGCCCAGAGACTCCCTGAAAACATGTCTACGTTCCGGCTGCGTTCTCAGGGCAGAAGTCCCTGTACCTCACGCCGCATCTTACACACCAAGCTGAAAGAGAAAAGAAAGGGATGACTCCTGTTTTGAGCTGGATACCCTGCTTGGCCCATGTGAAGTATCGCACTTTCCATAAAAAACATTGATCCTCCACGATCCCTTTAGATGACCGGGGTTCATCGATTCTCCTTTGCTCAGATGAGATGGCAGCTTCTTATCCTATTTGCACTGCTCGTGTCGATTGCTATAATAATTATTGTTGTTTTAAACCAATAAACATGCTTCTAATGTGCTGCTAAAATGTTGTCCATTTTTCACATTGTTTGTCTGGGAGTGTCAAACCAAATTTGATCCTGAGTGTTTCTTTCTACTCCACCAATAGTAAAAATTTATACAAAATATCAGCTCCTCAGTTTTTGGGACCAACTTACTTTTCTTCTACTGTATTGCTTAATTCACCACTTCCCCCCCACAATTTTAGATATGGAACAGCTAGTGCCTGTTCAAAACAGGCGGATTACTTGGCCTTCAGAAATGCTGCTTGCAGCTTTCTCCAAAACTGCTCAGCCAAACAACTTCACACTTGACACTGTTTGCATAGGTCCTCAGCAGTGTACCCGCCAGGTGCAAATTCAGCCGGTTGAACCGTTCTAAAGAAAATCAGACTCCTTCCATTTCAGCTATATTAATGTAGTAAAAGAGTTGATTTTATTAAATCTCGCAATTTATGTGAAGAAAAGCACTTTCTATACACAATCCCCTGTTGGCTCCAGCTGTTTTTGTGATTCTGAGTGAGTGAATTGATTTGATACTTTGACAATATTGAATATAGGGCTTAATATGCAGTTACCAATGTGTACAAAACATTTTGGAACTGACTTGCCAAGATGTCGCGCCTCTGTGACATAGAAGTGGTGTTTAAATTTTGCCTCCTCATTCGCTGGCATTGAAAAAGCAACAAATATACGTACGTCCATTTACAATGATCAGCAACATTATGACCAACTGCCTGATATTGTGTAAATCCCATTTTTGTTGCCAGTACAGCCCAAACCAGTTGAGGCACGGACTCCACCACTCCCCAGAAGGTATGCTGTGGTATTTGGCACTAGGACGTAAGCAGCAGATCCTTTAAGTCCTTCAAGTTGCGAGGTTGGGCCCTCATGGGTCGGACTTGTTTGTCTGGCACATCCCACAGATGCTCCATCGCATTCAGATCTGGAGAACGTGGAGGCCAAGTCAACACCTTAAACTCATTGTCATCTTCCTCAAACCATTTCCGAACCAATTGTTTGCAGCATGGCAGGGCGCATTATCCTGCTGAAAGCCGCCTCTGCCATTAAGGAATACCGTTTCCATGAAGGGGTGTACTTGGGTCTACAACAATGTTCATGTTGGTGTTACATGTTAAAGTAACATCCTTGTGAATGGCAGGACCCAAGGTTTCCCAGCAGAACACTACCCAATGGATCACACTGATTCCACTTGTTTGCCCTCTTCCCATGCTGTATTTTGGTGTGATGTCTTCCCCAGGTAAGTGACACACAGGCACCCGGCCATCAACATGATGGAAAAGAAATTATCACTTCACTGCCGTACTTTTCCCATAGCCCAGCTCATGACATATTTTTGATTTTACCCTTGGTAATATTACTTTAGTGAAAATTTTATTAGCTGAGAGCAGGGGGGGGGGAAATAAAAATAAAAAAAATCGCTCAGCGTTAAATCAGTTTTAATATTCAGCCAAACTTGATACCAAGTGTAACACTGGTGAAATTGGTATGGCTCAACATTGTTGCAAGCCAGCTAAATGCCACTTGCACAGTTCACGTTACTTAGCTAGCAAGGTAACGAGTACCCAGTGTGTATTCATCACCATTATGTAAAATTAGTTTGTTAGCTAGCCACTCAGATAACTGAATTTACAAACCATTGCTAGTTCAGCCGTGAATGTCTGACTCAGCAATTGGCTATGCTAGCAGAGCAATGGAGTTAGCGCAATGCTAGCATACAATGGGCACTAAAGGAAATTACATTTGTTTTCTATCAAATTACACAATTTAGTTATGTGATAAATCTTACAGTCATAGTCCTGTCATAATGAGTTATGAAACTCCTTGGGTAAATTTGGGAATTTACTCAACTTGTTTCATAACTTTCATATGACAAGCCCACTTGTGAGATCCTCTATACATGATTCATCAACCCTGGCAACCTGCTTCCATTGCTCCGTGTACCAGTTCTAATGCTCACATGCCCATTGTAGGCACATTCAGTGGTGGACAGGGGTCAGCATGGGCATCCAAACTGGTCTGCAGCTATGCAACCCAATATGCAACACACTGTGATGAACTGTGTGTTCCGACACCTTTCTGTCAGAAGCAGCATGAACCTTTTCAACAATTTAAACTACAGTAGCTTTTCTGTTGGATCGGACCACATGGACCAACCTTCTTTCTCCACGGGCATCAATGAGCTTTGGCTGCCCATGACGATCTCACTGTTTCACTGTTTTTCCTTTCTTGGACCACTTTTGGTACACACACTGACCACTGCAGACTGGGAACACCCCACAGTTTTGGAGATGCTCGGACCCAGTTGTCCAACCATCACAATTTGGCCCTCGTCAAAATTGTTAACATCCTTATGCTTGCCCATTTTTTCTGCCTCCAGTACATCAACTACGAGAACAAAATATTCTTATGCTGTCTAATATATCCCACCCACTGACAGGTGCCATTGTAGCAAGATTACTTACTTAGTCCTCTTCGCCCCTGGTGGGCCATAGGGCATCCACAACGCTTCTCCAGCCATCTCTGTCCTGAGCAGCCCTCTTTGCTTCTCCCCATGACATCCGGATTTGAGGTCAGCATCCACTGTTCTCCTCCATGTGGTAACAGGCCTCCCTTTTCTTCTCTTTCCCTGAGGATTCCACTCCAGGGCTTGACGGGTGATGTTGTCAGCGGGTCTTCTGTGGATGTGGCCGATCCATTTCCACTTGCGTTCACGGATTGAGATATTGACTTCTTTCTGATGGGTCTGCTGGTAGAGATTGCGGTTGGGGATCTTCTCTGGCCAGTGGATGTTCAAGATTTTCCGGAGACACTTGTTCACGAAGACTTGCAGTGAGTTCTCATGCTTCTTATTGAGCTTCCACGCCTCTGGTCCATACAGGAGCACTGTTTTGACATTGCTGTTGAATATCCGCAGCTTGGTCTTCCTTCTCAGTGCCTTGTTCCTCCATATTAATTCGAGTCTGTGGAAGGTGTGCCTGGCTTTCCCAATGCGTGTGCGAATGTCTTCGTCTGCTCCAGTGAGGCATTGTAGCAAGATAATCAATGTTATTCTCTTCACTTGTCAGCCATCAAAATGTTATAGCTGATCGCTGAAAATTTCAAATCTCAAGTTTCGAACATACAGTACCATAACATTCTATTATTCAATAATAAAATAGTTTTTGTTATTTATTACCTTGCTTCAGTTTTATATGATTTTCATGAGCATGACATTTGTCTTGATAGTGGAGTCCATGACTGATAATTTGCCAGGATCAGAATTTGTTGAGCCAGCTTTCAAATCTCTTATGGCTACAAACTGAGCTTCTTGCAGGATTCTGTGACAGGTTTTTTCCCACCCTCGTCTTAAATATTTATATTGCACTGAAAAGAGGTAGGAATTGTTTGGGAACATTAATATTAAGAGCCATTGTCTGTAAGGTTCAGGCAGGTGGTGATAGTCACCTTCTTCAATTTTGCTGAAACTTTGGTGGTTTTATGTCCCTACCCTAACTAGAAAATTCCCCAAATTTTTTGGCCCTACCTGCACCTGTTTGGGTTTTAGGGGTCAATCAAGTGCAAGCCGAAATAGGGCCTAAAATGCCAAATTACCAAAATTTGATTTTTGGGTTGCTCTTATTCACTGCGCAAACTTTATCCCAAAGTAAAAGTTGGAAAATTGAATTATAGGGGGGATGGTCAGTGGAAAGAGCGATTTTCAGCCTGGGATCTTCTTTGCGCAACATATAGGGGGCGATCCAATATGGCCGCAATCCATTTTCGTCACTAGTTTGCACCCCTTATACTCTGTGCCCAATTCGTGCCCCAGAACTTTTACAGCTGCACCACACTGGTATGTAGTTATACTATCCATTAGAGGTGAGAAAAAGTTGGGATAATGTATGCGCACACCAACAGGTGGCGCCGAACATGGCAAAATGGTAAAATTTGGCGTATTTCAGCACCACCTGGTGGCATGCGCGGTCGATTGACAGGGCAAAGGTTTGTTGCATAATGAGGTATAAAGGTCACCGTTTTAGTTTATGAAATCCATTTCTTGGGATAAGGACTACTGTCCATAATAGGTGGCACTTTACCAACAGATGTACTGGTACACACGTAAAACAGTATCCACTCAAAATTGCTCATGATTGGTCCAGCTGAA